TGGGTTGGAGTGTTTTGGTGACTAATATAAATTCAAAGAAAAAACATCATTACATAAAAGGGTATGGTCTTTTTTTTTTAGTTTTATTCATTTCATCTGGCCCATGGGCCGTAGTTTGCCCACAGCTGCTCTAGTATCAGCTTGAACACAAGTACCAGGATTGGTAAGGCCTTGCACGTCAAGTCCCTGAGACCTAGTGGGGCCAGGGCTCTTTGGGAATATGGGTTACAGATTTCAGCCATTCCACCCACTCTGTTCCCCTGTGTTTTCAAGGTCAGTGTCTTGGCCCCTAAATTATCTCCCCTCCTCCTCCACTCCCATCTCCTTCTCTTGTTCTTGTCAGAGGGAGAATGGGTTGGAAACCTGGAAGTCGGGGTAATGACAGGTGAACCCTTCTGGGTTCCCAGATTCTTTCTGAGCTGTTTTTCAATTCTCCTGGGCCAGGAGGACAGCTAGTGACCAGCCATTCAGAAGGGCCTGTCCCCATTGTACAGGAGAGGCTCAGAGAAGGCACCTCACCTTCCATAGGCCCAGAGTCCAGATTTCCGGATTCTGTCGCACCCCTGATTGGGTCCACCACTGTGTTCACGGGGTTGTGGGATCCCTCCCCGTTTTATTGGGAAGAAGTAACTTGCCCAGAGTAACGGCTTGCTTAGAGGGTGAGACCACAATGGGCAGACGGGGACAATCTTACGGCTGCCTCACCGCTCTGCCCAGGTGGTTTTCTCTGGCTGAAGAGGGAGAAGGGGCAGCAGATGGGCACCGAGTCCTCGCTGCCCCTGTGTGGTATGAACCAAACTGCTGTGGCCAGGACACCTGCTCCTCATAGCCTGTGTCCCAACTCAGAGGTCACCTGCTAAGGTGGGTGTCAAACCCACTTCCAAGCCCCCACTTGATGGAGCCTGACAGGTTATTCAGGTCCCTGCCTCACAGGCCAGGCCCAGGCGAGACCCACAATACGGGCTCGAGAGGCACCAGCCCTGCGCACGAAGGCTCCAAACTAGGCGGGGAGACAAGTCATGACTCAGGACCTGCCCTTCAACTGCTCGGTCCTCAGTTTCCTCGCCTGTAAACTAGGGTTGGGCCTTGGCTTTAGTTCTAAGCTTTCTCTTTACAAAAGGACCCCTCGGGCCTACAATTTGAAAGATGTCCTGTAGGAGCTAGTTGTTTCATTTCCCCACAAGCAACAGTGTTGTTAGTGCGTTACATGTAACCTGATGTGGTTAACTAGAAAAGGCAGCTTTGGGGTAAACGTGGGAGTTACTGAAGCCCCAAGCTAGGGCCTTGAGTAGCTCACACCTGCCAGCTGCAAAACGCCCCCAAACCACACCAGAACAGGCTGCTCCCCCACCAGACCTGTTCTGTGGTTTACTCCAGAGCATTTGGAAGCATCCCTCAGCCCCTGCCATGGGCCAATCCCATCAAGGCTTCTGAGGGGGGAGTTCAGAGTCAGTTCAGACTCAGCACTCAGGCGCACAGTCATCAGAGTCCGAGAGGTACCAGAAAATAAAGCCATTTTATTTTATCTGCCACTGTGGCCTAAGGAGTGGGAGGAAAGGGGGGCGGGGGAGGCGATGCGGTGGGCCCCAGCTGAAGGCCCCGGAGTCTCTACTTGGCCAGGACTGTCTCCTCCAGCCTATCCAAGCGCTTCTGGAGCTCCTGCACCGTGGCCTGGAGCTTCCTCATCTCCTCCTCCAGCCGGGACACGACGTCCTGGAGGACCCAGCGCTGCATTAGGCCCGCTCCACCCTGGTCTCCCCTTATCCTGGCCGAGAGCCCCAGAGCTTGGGCCCTTCTGTCTCTCAGCCAGTTGCTGCCCAGAGAGCTGCAGGCCTACAAGCCTGAAAGCTGCGTTCTGAGGCCTCAGGATTACCCACTGCCATCTCCCTGTGAGTCTGGGCTGCCTCAGAGGCCAGCCTCCTTCCCCTGGGTCAGTGACCACAGCGATGGCAGCCCCTCCCTGCCCTGTCTTCCCATCCTGACTCCAGCCTCCCACCCGCCTCTCACCGAGCTTGGAGTGCCACTGGCCTCTGGTGCTGTCTTCCTGCGCCCGGTGTCCAGGCCCCGGTTGACCCTCAGCTCCCGGCTCTTTGAGGGCACGTAGCCATCCTTGAGGGAAATGAGGAGGGGCCCAGCATCCCGACCCCCCAGCCACTCCTCGGCCGTGAGGGCAGCGTCAGGCCCTGCAGTGGGCGGGTACAGGTCCTCCTGGAACAGGTCCGACTGTGGGCAAGACCAAGGCTGGTTAAGAGCGTGCTTAGGTCACACCACCACCCTGCAGCTCTGCAAGGTGTGCCCAGCCCGGAGCCCAGGGAGGGACATGGCATCACCTTTCTAGGCACTGTCATGGCAATGGGCTCACACTTGCGCTCATGCAGCTTGTAGAACCTGTGGAAACAGGAGCCTGAGCAGCGCCCGCAGCACAGTTGGGCTGAGACTGAAGGTCAGCCTGAGGTCAGCACTGCCCAAGGAGCATGCTCAGGTCAGGGTCAGGGAACAGTCACCTGGCGATCTCACACTTGTTCACCTCCAGGCCGCGTTTGGGCATGTAGCCCATGCCACGCTGGGACTCCTTGGAGCTGAACATGGAGAGATAGTGCAGGAACGGGGCCTCGGACGTGATCTCGAAGTACCGGATGGAGCTGTCACCCTGCGGGTGGAGGGTGCGAGGGGAGGTCAGCACCGACAGGGGCCTGCAGCCGTGCTCCTTCCCAGCCCCTCTGCCCACCTCCCTCCCCTGGCCCCCCGCCACACTGGGCCACCTTGCCACAGAGGTAGACGATGTTGGTGTCGGGGTCAAAGAAGGGCAGCAGGACGCCGCTGCTCGTGTCCAGCTCCTGCAGGGACAGCGGCTCCTCCAGCTGCTTCTGTAGAGACGGGTGGGAGACAACAATGAGCTGGGCCACGTCAGGCCCCGGGCGGAGCCCTTCACTGGGCAGTCACCGGGTGGGGGTGACCCTTACAGACCAGCCAGTGGAAACCCCCATCGCAGGCGGGTAAACGGGCCCGTGGACATAGGGCGCGGGCTTGGCAAGGCCGGGACTAAGCCTCCAGGTCCTCTGCGCTCACCGTGTCCCACAGCGCCACCTGC